CTCCCTCTCCCCCTTCTCTCTCTCTCTCTCTCTCCCTCTCTCTCTCTCTCCTTTCCCTTCCTTCTCCCTCTTTTTTCTTTCTCTCTGCTTGACAGTAGAAAGAAACTACATATATATATATTTCTTTTAAAAGAATATCAGGACTTTGGACAACACTAGGGATGCTGAATATAGTAGGAGGGTATTTTATCTCCTGCAGGCATGCCATAGAGGTAATGGCTTACTCCCCATTGGTAGAATGTTCGTTCTTATCTCTTACTCAAGAGGTGTCTCTTCACTATGAATTGCCATTTTCAAAAGGGATGTGCTAATAATAATATAATAGCCAGGTGAAGGCTACAGAACCTTTTGGCATTCAAAGACTCTCTAGGGCCCAAGGGAATATTTCATCTGTGGCCAAACTTCCAAGAGCAAAAATAGGATTCCCATTTTTAGAGGCTTAGATCTCATCACATGGGCTATTATCCTATATCCCAGTGAGCCTCTGGTTGAGTGCAAATTTGATTTATTGTTTAAAAGGCTTGGGCCAGTTATCATCACAATGGATTTTCAAAGCCTTCTTGATTCCCTGTGTCTCTCTACTGTATGAGAATTTCCCATTGATAGGGAGGGGAAGGAAGAAGAAGTAGCTTGGATTCAAATGGACTAGTTCTGTTCCTATGAATATTCCATTGGGTGAGAGGAAAGAGAAGGGAAGATGGAGATGGGAAAGGGAATTGATTTCATTCAGGTCTTTCTGTAAGAGGAAGCAAGGCTGTCAAGAAATCTAAGAATATCTTGGATCCCAGTCACTGATATCATATCAAGTGAGAAAATTGTTGTTTGGCTAATATAAATGAGAGTTAACTTTTGCTTGTATGAGAGTTACTGTATGCTGGTACTGTGACAAGCATTTGACTAGCACATAGCCTTATGAGTGGAGCAACTAGTATTGACCCTACTTTACCAAAAGGAAAACAACATCCTCATTAGAGGAAAAGTTCTTGAACCTCTCTGGGTTGGTATCCTCATGTTTTTAAAAAAAGGAAAAACAAAAAACAAAACAAAACAACCCAGGAAAATGTAATACCTACCTCAAAGGTTTTTTGTGAATTTATGAGAGAGTTTGCAGTATTATTTGTATCTTTCCCACTACCCAAAAACTAGTTATAAGTAGCATGTAAGGTTTAATAAAATCCAAAAAGATACATACTAGATAGATAAGAAAGACAAAAAGAAAATACAGATAGGGAAAAGAATGGTATGCACAGCAATCAGCATGTAGTACAGGTTTAATAAATGATAGGTCTCTTCCCAATACCGTGATGCTTCTTGTCTCATTCATAAGCTGGGAGTTGGGTGATAGGCTTGATGAGCCTTAGAATGTTTAACTTTGGATTTTGCTAGAACTTTCTTCCCTGGAATTTGTTTTGTATTTTTGTTTTAAATGGCTCTGGGTAATCATTGATATTTAATTTGCAAAATGCAAATTAGTGTGATGAAATTAAAAAAAATTTGAGACAGGGTGTGACTAAGTTAACTAAGTTTGCAGGCTGGGCTTGAATTTATGATCCTCCTTTCTCAGCCAACTAGAGTGCTTGGATCACTGTTATGAGCCACTGTGCCTGGCCAGTCTGATGAACTTTTAAACATACACATTTACAATAATTGAAGTAATGTGCTGATATTAACCTAGTTCACAAATGCTTGCAGCACTAATCTGAAATGACTGTGTTTTGATTATATTAAGACTTTGTGTTCTCTGTTTACATGCAAAGTTTATATTGGAGAGCTTTTAAAGGAACAGCCTGATAAAGTCAAAAGGGCATTGGCTAGGAGTCCATTGGGGCTCTAGGTCAACCTTTTTCTGTAAAAAGAAAGAAAATGCTTCGCCTCATTTTATTATGATCAGCTCTTGGAATATATAGGAGGAAGAAAGGAACGTTGTTCGCAGGGGTGTTAATGGCATGATGAATTTAGCAGATAAATTTCAGGCTCCTTTGTATGATGAACAAAGAATTTCAAGTGTACAATCCAAACGGCAAATGAAAAACAGCTACATTTATTGAAGATCACAGAAAGTTGTGCTCAAGGAAGTCTGTGCTGACAAAAGATGTGGCACAAATACAAAAGTGTCACCAGGGTGACAGGATACCAAAAGCACTGCACACAGATCACAGTACACAATATCCCCTGATAAATCATGCTTTCCAAATTTTTTTTCTTTTTAGTACCAGATATCGAACTCGGGGCCTTGCAGTTTTTGAGGCTGGTATTAGCACCACTGAGCTAAATCCCTGGCCCCAGGCTCTCTGAATTTAAGGATATACACCTCAGTCCAGGTGCCTTCCTTGAATTTTTAGGTGTGATTGACAGTGATGATAATGATTGACAGGGTGTTGAGTCATCTCAGGGGCTCTCAAATGCATGCTTTCCCAGAATTCACTCTAATCTTGATTATGTACATGACATGTAGTACAGTACATACTTATGAGCCCTAAATGAGGGCTCATAATGAAGGTGACTGACGATCAGGCTAGGAGATCCAGTGCACAAGTGCTATCACCGAGAGCATCAGAGATCTCTTGAGTTATTGTTATGTGATTTTCTACCTCTCTTAGGACAGTGGAAGGAGGAATGGCCCTAGGGTGTTGTTTAAAATTAAATGGATGGAGAAAGTGACTTCCTCAGTTGCACTGTTTCTAGCTGTACTTGGGGGACCTCTCTTCTTGGATAGTCTACTGTCTCCAAGACAAAAGGGAGGTATCCTTGCACCACACAGATTGTTGAATCTTTTGTTTTCAACAGCCGTATCATTCTGGTCAGAGACAACAGAGAGGACAGTATCAGTCAGAGTGTCTTTTATGATCCAGCTAAGAGGCTGGGGCTCCTTTGGCCTCTATTTAGACTCCTTTCCAGAGTGCACATTTTCCTCACTCCTCCTCCCAAACCAAATGATGCCATCCTCTGTCCTCAACACTGAGGGCTTTGTCCATTTATATTGGAGGAGGATGGCTTCAGAGAGTGAGGAAGACTTGATTTAGAGCCTAGGGCAGTAAAATACTTGAACAAAGAAGTTTATTAGCTCCGAAAAGCCACAATGCCTGGTAATTCTTTGTTAGTGTTGGTTTGGTTTGTGTACTGTGGGTGAGATTCTGAGCAAAGCCCAGATGGTAGGGAGCCATGGCCAGATTGGTCTGCCAGTTTCGAAAGCTGCTGTTTCTTTTTCTTTTTATTGAGTTTATTGGTACAAAGCTGCTGTTTCTTAAACAAAGCCCCTGAGAAACATGAGCCTTTCAATAATGGCTGAGGAAAGAAGAGAGAAGAAACCAGGCAGTTCACAGTTTCTCATCCGAAGAGCAGTGTTATCCTGAGAAGACTTTACTTATTGATTACCTATTATGGAGTATCCTGGGTAGGGTGATTTATTTTTTCAAGTTAATTTAAAATAAAAAATAAAAAAAATATATTTATCAAGTACAAGGCAGTGTTTTGAAATATGTACATATTGTGGGATTGCTAAATAAAGCTAACTGGATATATGAACAAAGGAAATGAAATCAGTTTGTCAAATATATACATATATATTTTTTGAGCCATACGTACCATTTGTAACAATATACATAAACCTTTAGGACATTATGTTAAGTGAAATAGTCCAGGCACAGAAAGACAAATACCATATAATCTCACTCATGTGGAATCTAAAAAATGTAGATCTCATAGAACTGAGAGTAGAGTGATGGTTGCTTGGAGCTAGCAGTTGGGCTGAGGATTGGAATATGATGTTGGTCAAAGGATATAAAATTTCAGTCAAAAGTAATGTAGTACAGCATGGTGACTATTGTTAATGACAATATATTGTATTCTTGAAAATTGCTGAGAACAGATTTTAAGTGTACTCACCACATAAAATGCT